CACACACACACACACACACACACACACACACACACACACTGTATTTAAGGTCCATCCTGAGAAATATTTCAGTGCTGCTTCAATTTCTCCTCTGATGGAGCCTTGAGGCCAATTTAGAGCAATTCTAACCCATAGAAGATGTTAAAGAGTCAGTTGTGTGGTAATGATGTGTTGAGAACCTGGAGGTATAACCGTGTCTCTTCTCCCCGGAAGGAAGAAGAAAATGGCACAACATTACCAGCCCTGGACCAAGATCATGAATTCTTAAAGTACTTAACAAAAAAATACCAAAGCTCCACAACTTCTAAACCAAGGACCAAACCCTAAAGGATAACTTCTTTAAGAAGCAGCACTCCTATATCTTGGTGGACCACAGTTATAAAACTTTTTAAACTGAATGTTAATAAAATTTTCGACATTTTCACCTCTATTAAAAATGCAGTTAAATCACTTGTGTCTAAAAGCCATGTGGAATTCATCTCTTGAGAATATGTGGTTTAATGGTTACCTTTAAGGATCTTAAAGATCTTCAAATCAGAGTAGAATGGTTTATAGCTATCTAGACAAACTATGACTTGGATATTTGGCTTAACCAGTATTTCTTAAACATGTGGGTCCCCCTCCCTTTTCATTTTTATGTAATGCCTATTAATACAGAATATTTTTCGGGGAAAGCTATGTGGGTCATCAAAAGGAGGTGAAAAGGAGAGAGTGCCTGGGATGGAAAGGACCTAGAAACACAGTACTAGGCATTTGTAATGGATGTGGGATATATTTAAAAGAGGATTAGATAGACTTGATTCACATAATTTGAGTGTAGATATTAGATCAAGTTATACAAAGGATCACACCAGAATGTCATGTCAAAAGCATGTCTTCGCTGGTCCTTGATAGGTGAGGAGGAAAGAGGTGTGGCTGTCCATCTAAAACACTGCTGGAAAACAGATCGTGTTCTCACAAACTTCTCATCCAGTGGTGAGAACAAATCTACGACTTAGTGGACATTGGGCCTTCCAGTCAGTATTCTCATCTCCTTTTGGGGTGACTATCTGCCCATTGCTGAGGGCTGTGTTTGTGAGATGGATCCTCAAAGTGTTCTGCTCTCCCACACGGAAATGGAGGGGACCTGGGAGATTTCTTTCAGCTCCCTCTTTCGTTCATCAACTCAGGACCTCCTGCTGGGCACATCTTTGGCCAAGCAAAACCGCACTCTCCAAGAGCTTTGCATCTTAGAACCAGGGACTGAGTACAGAAGAAACAAATAGTTGGCGAGTGTTCACTTACTCCAGTGGCAGGGCCTTATGTTCAGTGGCCATTCAGTGGCTGCCTGCTTCCTGATTCTCCAAGGCCTCCCTTTGGGTCCCATACTCTCTCCCATATTCTTCCAATAGATTCTTTTGTTTAAGTAGCCAGGGTTAGTTTCTGTTGCTTGCAACTACAGAATCTTAACTGATACATATGAAGAGTGAAAATCTAAACCGTAACTAGTGCTTATTTAAATCCAAAAGATCTAGTAAACCCGATTCTAAGACATATAAAATTTGAATTTTTAAACTAAAAATATAATATAAATTATATATAAAATATATTACTATATAATGTATACACTATATGTTTTATTATATGTTATAGATCAATTTATTTTTAAAAATTAAAAACAAAACTAAGAATGGAAAAAAAGGATACTACCACTCCAACACAACTATTTTTATGTTTGCATTTTCCCTTCGAGTAAACATACACATTATTTTTATCTGATTGGAATCAGGTTCTTTTTCAACATTTTAAAATGTCACTTTTTCCCCTACCAGTAGACTGAAGTTGAGGGGAAAGCAGAAAGTGAGGTAGTTTACCAAAATACTTGAGAAAAAATAAAGTTTGAAACCCTGTTAAGGTTAACTCTGTTGCCAAATGGTCTGAACTTGTTGGCTCAAAATACAAACTTCTTTTTTTCACTTCTCAGTCTACTATTTTTTTTTTACTAAAATTGTGTAACAAAGGAGTATTTGTAGTTTAAAGCTACTGATACCAACTTGTCTGGCAAGGTTTTAAATAACGGAGTTATTTGCCTATTGTACATATTTTGGGTGCAAAGAGATGGTGTTAGTCACCTTCTGGCTGGGTGCCCATGTGCTTGGACTCAGCGTGTTGGAATGACTGGCAGAGCAACAGAAAGCGGAAGGAAGGAGTAACTGGCACTGTGTTGGCTTTAGGATGTAAAAGCAATTTGAATTGAAAGAACTCTGACCCCCTTGCATTTATTTCAGATTTGTCATGTACCATAGAAGAAATGCAATTCTCTTGGTTAACCATATACAATCCGTAACCTGCTTTCTAATTTTCTAAAGCATGGAGTGACTGTTCAATGTTAATAGCATGTGATACTTTAGGCATCATAGGGGGAATAAATGGACCTGGAGTCATAGTTCCTGGATTCCAGTCCTTGCTCCTTTTCTAAATAGTTGAAGCCTGGAAAGTCACATAATTCCTCGGTACCTTAATGCCTCATCTGTCAATTCTTTTCATTCCTTTGGGCTTCCAGTTTTCTTACATAAAATGGGGGTTAGGTTTGATAAATCAATAATTGTGTAATTTTTATCTTATGTGAAACTCATAACAACCCTGAAAAGTAGATGAGGTAAAAGTGGTCATCAGTTTCCTAGTAATGAAACTGGAGCTCATGAGACTATCCAAATCATCTTGCATCTTTTAGTAAGTGGTAGGGCAGGGACTCAGGTACAAACCCCGATGTATTCGTTATCTGCTAATACATAACAAATTTCCTCAAAACTTAGCTTAAAGAAAACTTATTGCACAGTTTCTGTGGGTTAGATTCTGGAGACAGCTTAGCTGGTGGTTCTGGCTCAGTGTCTCCCATGAGGCTGCATTCAAGCTTTTGCTGGAACTGCAGCTTCATCTGAAGGCTCAACTGGTAGAGGACATGCTTCTAAATTCCCTTATGTGGTAGGTAGTAGGTTTCTGTTTCTCCATGGCTGTTGGCTGGAGACTTTAATTCCCCACTACACAGACTGCCTGAATCTCCTGACCACAGGGCAGCTCACTTCTTCCAGAGCAAGTGATCTAAGTGTGTGTGCATGGGAGGAAGGGAGTGCCCAAGACAGAAACCACAGTCCTTTATAACCTAATCTTAAAAGTGATATCCCATCCTGACAGATGCTATTGGTTACACAGACTAACATGGTAGAATGTGGGAGGAGCCTCACAAGTTGTGAAGACTGGGAGACAGGGACCATTGGGAGTCACCTTAGAGGCTGACTACCACATTCTGCCACTCTATCATGTGTTCACATTTTAAAAGACATCATTTTGATGATAGCCTAGGGTCAGTGAAACTCAGCAAAGAAATAGAGGAGATAAAGAAGAAAACTAAATGGAAATTTTAGAACTGAAAAATACAATAACTGAAATTAAAACTTTACTGGATGGGCTCAACAGCAGAATGGAACAGACAGAGGAAAGAATCAGTGAACTTGAAGATAGAACAATATAAAGAAGCAATTAAACATATAGACCCAACTACCAATTTACAGGAAATGCATAAAACAGAGGGAAATGTTATACATTTCAGAGATGCAATCAGCAAAATCCAGACTGTGAGAAACTCTAAATGACAAACAACTCAGTCTCTAATACATTCCAGTTAAAAAATTGCCCATGGGTGAAGCTACAAATTGAGACTAAAAAGACATGTTGGCCCTCCAGAATGTGTGGACCTTAGTTGTGTTCTGATTGCAACAAATAAATATAAAAATAAAACACATATGACATTTATGAGATAATTGGAAACTTGAATATTGAATGGATGTTTTATGTTAAATAATTGTTAACTTTTCTTATTTTGTATAATCAGGTTATGTTACTTTAAAATGTCCTTATCTGGGCTGGCCAAGTGGCACGTTGGTTAGGAGGTGGCTTGGCACACCAGCTCTGAGCAGCAGGGCCCTGGTTCGGATCCCACATGAGGGCCAGTGATGCTGCGGCCTCTATAGCTAAGATGGTGAACAACAGCTCGACCTGGAGCTGGGCTGCTGTGAGTCGCTGGCGACGGCGTAGGCTGCAGTGGGGCTGGCTGGCAGTGGGCATGCACTTTTGTGAGCTGCCGTGAGCTGCTGTGAGCCGCCCGTGAGCGGCCGTCCAATGACCGGTGAGTGACTGCCTCACCCGGGAAGAACGCTGTGATCATACCAACATGGACCAGTGAAGCGACGTTCTCCACAACTAGACTGAAGAACAAAAGTACAGCAACTTGTCTGTTCCCCTTCCCCGAATCCCCAACGCTGTTCCCCTCCCCCAATTCTCCAATAAAATCTTTAATAAAATAAAATGTCCTTATCTGTTAGAGATCTGTACTGAATGATTACAGATGAAATGATGTTTGCAATTTGTTTCAAAGTAATATGGGATGAAGGAAGCAGAAGAGAAATACATATGAAGCAGAACTGTCAATGTGTTGATGGCTGGAGATGTGTCCATGAAGGATTATCTTACTAGTCTTTTTTCCCCCCTGTGGATATTTGAAGTTCTCCATAATTAAAAGTTAAAAATAAAAAAGAAGCCATTATATCTTCTTCCACAGAGCTGATCATCCTCCCCTTCACCCTGGCAGTAAACTGGAAGTTTGTTTTTACAATTGGGTAAAAAAGGTTTCTATACTGGAATATATTGGGCAAGGTTGAGAGCAGATTTATCATGTTGAATGCAGGAGGATTAAGTAAATTATATAGCGAATGGTGAGCCACCCTCATCCTCACTCCCCACTGGGTAAATGGAATGCAGGCCAGCCAGGTGGATATCCTCCAGGAAAAGACCAGAAGATCCTTCTCTAGGAAATCTGATCATCCTAAGAGGAAAGACCTAAAAACACTGACATGGTGGGTTCCACAAAGAAACAACCTGGACAGATTACCCCAGGCTCACAGACCTTCTGATCAGTTCTTCAGTACTTTACTATTAAATGCACAGACCAAGAACTGCCAGACATTTGAGGAAGGCCTCTGACATAATGGAGACAAAAACAAATGGTATTGATGGGAAATTTGGAAGAAAAGCCATGCAGGGGAAATAAAATTGAACAAAAAACAATCCTAGTGTACTTGAGAGACAGGAGAGGATATTTCTTCCATGAAGCAAAAATAGAATGTTATTTTTAAAAAGTCCAAGAACAAAAAGGACTTGAAAATTAAGAATATTGTAGTAAAAATGAACGACTCAACAGTAGGGTTGGAAGATAAAGTTGGGGAAATCTCCCATAAAGTAGAGCAAAATGACAAAGATTTAAAAAATAGAAAAGATGCAATTATATAAATCTTGGAATCCAAGAGGTCCAAAATCTGAATAGA